AATAGTCAAAGATGAAGTCCTATAATAGGGATAATTATTTTGTTTTATACCTCATACTATGAGTCTTCTGGAAAATACCACGAGAAGAGTGTATTATAGTAAATGATTCATAATTTTTCATTACTAAAGATGCGTTTTAATGTAAGATTTTTTATGAATTTTCTTTTCAGTTCTTTATGTTATCTGATTACATGTAAAAAATATTTTTGTAATTATTCAGAAAAAATAATTATATTAAATAAAAACAAAAATATTTGTGTTTTGTGATAAAATATGTGTCATAATATAATAGACCTGAACACTTTTATTAAATTAGATTACATACTGACATTGAAGTTTAAAGATTATAATATGGTGAACTCATCAAAAATTGATCATCGCGAATCTTCAATTCTAGAGTTTCTTTTCAACATGTGCTAGGTGTCCAATACTCAAATAATATGATTTATTGTGTTTGTGTTTGTGTTTGTCACGAGTTTCAAGAAAATGAACTGACCATCATATGATAAAGAAAGAAATAAAATATGCAAAACATTAGACTAAACAAAGTTTGTCATTTTGAAATGAAAATATAAATAAAAATATACGACGAAAACATATGTGGTACTTGTCAGTGACTTGTCAATGTATGTTTTTTGTGTACTTTTAAAGGAAATAGTAAATGTAACAATACAAATAGAATTATTATTAAATGATAATAATATGGTTCTGTCATTTTGAAATAGTTAAGTAGATACTTTAAATATTAGTGATTTMAAAAAACATATTCAACAAAAAATTATAGATACTTTTTATACATATTATGCTATATAATAATAATTATTATATCTAACGAACTGATATTTTTTCAGGGTTTATTTTTACTGTTTTCAATTATAGTTGTTTTGATAAGATATTATTTTATTACTTACTACTTGCAAAAAAGGTACTCACAGTTCAAAAGTCACGAAAAATATTTGCTTTTTAAACCGTTATACAATTTATAATATAGGGACTATATTTTAACCCACAGAATCCCATTGGAGGTTCATWGTTTTTTTGTAAAATGTTTTACATTATTGATATGAATATATTTATTTTTACAATAATAGATTTAATTGTAAATAATAAATATTATTGATGATAGTATAGTGATAGTTTACATGATGTGCAGAACTTGATTATAATTTTGATTGTAGGTTTTTTTTTTAAGTTGGTAGGATTTTAACACGTATTTGTGTATATACTATATGTTGCTAAAAATCTCGGGTGGTTACCCATCCTGGAGCTTACAACTGCGGCTGGTACAAACACTTAGTGTCAGTGCGTTTTGGYAGATTGAGCGTACGACTACGCCTCGCCAATCCACATTATATTATTTTCTGAAGTATCTTAACCTATATATCATTATCATGGATCTGAACATAATTGACGAATATAGCAAGGCATAATAAAAATATACACTACAAATAATTTACCTAATAGGAATATAAATAATATAATATTTGTTTACAGTTATTAGTTTGGAATATTATGTACATATGGTTGTAAGGTGTTAGATAGGTAATTGACCAAAGTTAAATCAATTGCATAATTTGTTTAAAAAAACCATACTCACATTTTTATTAAATAATAGGGTATAACGTTTAAAAACTACCATGAAACAATTTAATTTGAAAAAATACTCGTGTTATGTATTTACACCATTTTATTAGATAATTGAATGACGTAATAATATGATGAAATATCATTTTTATACCTATATTAAAAATAATAAGTGCCTGTATTAAATATTTATATAAATATTTAACATTTTTTTTATTCTTATTTTATTTTGATTGTAGTTTAATAGTTAAACTTTTTCGATCTTGTTTAACTATTTAAAACCACTTAAAAAAAAATTTTTTTTAATTAATCGTGTCATGCAAATTATGGCATACCTAATATAATATAACACACGGAACCATAGATAATTTCATACAACTTACTACTTACTGGATGAAATGCATATTTTTATTTCATTCCGGCTAACACTAAAATTATATATGGAATTTAAAATATTAAAAATATTCACCAAACACTATAAGTTTTGTTATTTTTACCTTGTTTGGTTTTAAAAAATATTTATTTTTTTCTGTTTCCATCATACTACTCTACTTGAAGCTCACGTCCACGAAACATGTACTTTTCGCACAATAAAAACATTTAATGACTCTGAGTACGGTACTAGGTAAATACGTTTTGTTGATTAACTAATGGTCTTTATTACGCAACTAATAAAACACTCCATCCCATACCCTCGTAGTTGCCAACAGTTCGCGAAACTACCGACAAACTATTCCACAACTATTTACCTGACCACCTAAATCGTTTCACTCGACATAATCCAACTTCACTTAACTCCTATAGTACTACTGGCAAAACGAAAATGCAGACATGGCTTACAGGTAGCCTTTCCAGTCATAACACAGTGCATAAATTGTATCTAATTATTACAGTTCATTTGAATTATGCATTATGTAATTAATTTATAATTTCTATTCGTATAATATTCTCAAACAACACATAACACAACATTTACTTTTGAAACACCTAATAATGCATTATAGTCTATATTGTGAATTTGTGATAATTCTGTTTATATAAAATTTAGAGTGAAGCGAGAAGCTATTGATTTTATATTGTTTAAATATTTTGTTCATAGTTTTAAAATATACTATTTTTAGGTAGGTACTTTAAAAAAAGATTGGCATATTCACGCATCACTTCTACTCGGAGTTGAAGTTGATTTTGAATAGTTTTTAGAAATATATATTATATAGGTATTCAAATATACATCCTTTCTTAATATTTATTAAGATAAGCCATTTTCAAATAAGAATAATTTATCAATTATCAAAATTTAGTTATAGTTGACCTAAACCGAACCCAAATGGTGTGCTTTATATAACTATATATATATTTTTACAAAAATCATTATATTTAATGATAAATGACACCATTTAGTTGAACTGCATTAAATATATATTGTAATACATTGATTAATTGTTTTGATGATGATTGCATAACAATAACTTTAACAGATCACATCAAACAATTTCATTTAGTGTGTAATCGTGCTCATTCCTTCACCCAAAAAATTACTTATATGATGTTTAATATAAAAATAATTAAAACAACTGATGTAGTATATTTACTATTCAGGGTTTTTAATACTAGTTAGTTTTTTACTATAATAGKAATTTGTGTTTTTACTTGTATATTAATATAATAATTTCGTTGAATTTTTTAAATTTTATTGCTAAGTATTCACATAAGTTATATTATATTGTGTACCAATATTTTTAGTTTTTATTTTTTTCTATTGTATAAAATAATTAAAAATCAAGAAGTATATTGTTGCTTTTAAACAAATTATGTAAACAATCAATAATGAAAAAAGCCATAAAGAATTGACATTTTATGTAAATATTATTATATTTTTTAATATTTTTAATTATATGTAAATATAATACTTTTAACAACACCGCTATAACCGAACAAGCCAAAACCTGCCCAAATCACCGGCCGAAATACTAAACAATTACTCTCAATCCAAAGCCATCATCATTATCCAATTCATTACAGCTGTCAATCTTAAAATCAAAATTTAGTTAACAGTTAAATTTAGTATACAATATATGTAAATTATTTTTTTTTCTCTGTGAGCCCAATGGCCCATGTTGCCGATGGTAAATAATACAAAAAAAAAAATATATATATATTGATAAGTACTATTATGCTAATTATATAATAATATAGTGAATTCAAATAGAAATAAAATATATAAAATGAATAACTAATGTTGATTTTATTCAGAGAAGAATTATTTTCGTGTTGTGAGAGAAAGTCATTGATAGGTACTACGCAAAAACGAGCTGATTAATATCACTTTTTTTAATTTCTCGGAAGATGACGCTATACATATCCCAAATTACAAATGGAATTGCTGTGCTTTTTGAAATAAAGAAAACGTTATCTTACGTATTTATGGTTAATGACTTGTACTTTTATAGTTAGGTATATATTATATGACATAAAAAAACCGTAACAGAACTGAATAAAGATAGTACAGAAATGCTTTTGTACAACGTAAAACTATTGGAATATTAGACGTTAAGTTTTAGAAAACTTTAACCGGTAAGTCAACATTTAATAGTGATATACATGATTTTAAGTTGCGTTKCMAKACAGACGTGGCGTATACAATAGCAAGTAATATAGATCTATATTATGGTATATATTATGTACTTTTGGTCGGATGACTGTAGCAACGTGTAACACCCCCTCCCCCACCATTAACCCAAATTTCCTAAGCCAGTTTGATCCTATATAATACATCAATAAAAACGACCGCTCACCGCTGTTCGTACTGCGATAAACTTTTAGGATTTTTTAGTATTTACATCCAGTGCCGGATACAATTTCTATGTAGCCTGGCCTCGAGAAATATTTGTGCAACATACAAAAAAAAATAAAAAAATAATCGCTCCTCTAGCTCATTGTAACATTACTATCCTAACATGCCTAATTCTCATTTGTCTTACAAAGTATATCGATATTAAAATTAAACACAAAAAATATAATCTCTGAACTTAATATTATATTAATAACACAAAGTGATGATAATAATATTTAATAGGCACGTAACAAAGAGTGTAACTATTTTTAAACGATTATTAATTAATATTATTATTATTATTATTATTATTATTATTATTGAAAGACAGTGCTTATTTTGGTAAAAAATAAAAACCTTTTTCGAAACACCGAGAGTGGATTTCGAACGACCCATCTTCGTCGTCGTGGGACTCTGTCTCCGAGCTCCGTAATACGATGGCCGGACGGACCGAACACGTAGACAGCGGTACAGTGGCGGCGCCGACGGTGGAAGAGTTTCGGCAGTGTCATGCGTTGGAGCGCTTTTTCRCGGGGGGCAGCCGCGTTTCCGTATCGTTTAGCAGTCGCCGTTCGCCCTTGTTCGCACGATTTTCCGCGTTCGTCCCGTTGCGTTATCGCCGGCAAAGCTCACGATACTATCGCGTCACGTTTACGCGAAAAAATCTTTTAATAAATTTTTTTTTTTTTGTTTTTGTATAAATTGATTTTGATATTGGAGGCCGACACACGGTCCGTCAAGTCGATTTCACATAGATTTTTTTCCGTGGTTCGTCGGTCGAGTGGTTATCGCGTCTTCCACTTCTCTGCTCCGACATCTTTCGCTTGGTTCGTCATGCGGTAGCGTATAGTGATAGTGCCGTTATAATAAAACAACKATTTTACGATATTGCCAAATATTTTGATCATCGTCGTGGTCTGTTTTCAATCTAACCGTCTTGCACAAATTATTGCTCCTGGCGAAGAAAAATAAATCACGACGATAATCCGGACACGTGAGTACCATTTCGTCATCGTCACATTATAACGAATAAATTATTAGTATTAGTCTATCATGTACCTACCCAGGAAAACGTTAATAGTTCGTTCCAAAATATTAACGATTCACTGTTACCGCTGTGATATTACTGTATCGATTAATACTGTCATTTTAATGAGCACTTTTGTACTTTTACTTCTCTTAATTAAACGACTAAAACAATCGCATTCGGGGGAATTATTTGAATTATGAACAAATAATTATTATACCGTACGTCTTTACTTATGTTTTCGCCGATGTCGTTTTTGAGACGAACCCCCGTTCTCCGTGCCCAGTCCACGATTAATCCTGAAACACTTTTTATTACATTTTATTCTTTACAGACATTAATTTATACTTATAATAATTCAGTTAAACATTCAATTTTGCTTGCTCTACTGTTCTCTTCGACGACTACCCACCTGAATACTTCATTGGGTATTACTAACCCGAGCAAAAATAATATGATACTTAATGCCAATTAAACTACCTTTTAATTATATTAACAGGCAAATAATTTGAATTAGCTACGTAACTTGAGTCTACAGTACACGTATATCAATGCAGTTTTATACATATCATCTTAAGTTTGATTTAATGAACATTTAGTTTAACTTTACTTTGAAATTTATTTTAGTTTAACTCAAAAGATGACAGTCTTCTTTATTAGAATATAAATGAACGACATTATAAATTAAAATAAATTTTGGATAATTTAATATTGTTTCATAGCTATATTAACACAATTTGTCTTATACCAATATAATAGTATGTATCATATTTTTACATTGGTTATGAGTTATGATTTTTAATGGCTTAACTTTCACTAATTTAGTATCAATAACACAACGTGATGTTATCAATATAATATGAATAAATCTTTACTATCTTATATTTTATTTTTGACAGTTATTTTGTGTTAAATAATAACATATTACGCTAGTACATTTGAGGAATGTGAGTGAATTATTATATTTTTAATATAGAAAATAATATTAATTTTTAAAAAAAATGTAGAGAAGGATAAATTTGGATAAGTCTTTGTAATATCCTTCATTTTTATTTTTATATACCTACTGATACTGTTAACCAATTTATTATTTATTTTTAAACTAAATGAATGTTAATTTTCTGAAAAAACTAAGTATATTATGTTTATAATTTCAAGTGATAATTTTAATCTATGTATTTAAATCAAGGCCAATAAGGTATGCACATAATCATTATACATTGTAATGAATGAATGTTATTATTAAGTATATTAGAAATAATATCATAATATTTTCAAAAGCATATAATACATTTTACATTTATAAATCACTTTTCGAGTTTAGTCCATAGGACCATAAATATCACCAAACAAATTTAGTGGAAATATGGAAGGCAATCGAACAAAACAAAACTTGAATTTCCGGCTCTCGTTGAATTCAGTAGTCATTAAAAACAATCGTTTAAATGCTGTCGTACAACATTTATCAAAGTTTACATCAGCATTTCAGTAGATACCAATAATTATTGTTTAATATTCGTTAAAATATTATAATTTTATTCTGAAATCAAAAGAAAAATATTTTAATGTTTCTTCAAATTCTCGATTTAGTAGTATATTATACATTTTTATTTTATAGATTTTATAGAGACCAATTTGAGCAATTAACTCRCGTATCGTACTCTATCGCTGTGGTACTACGTGCATTGATTGTAAAATACTATTTGCTATAAATCAATTCATATAGGTTATACACATGCAGCATGTTATGTTAGTTAATATAATCATACAAACAAAGTATGATCTCTGTTATGGATCATAACATATTATATTATTAAATATATAATGATTGCAGGAACGTCAAATTAAACTAAGATAAGTTATAGTTCTDTTGTATAAAGTTTATATTAGTAGATTTTAAAAATAATTGTTCTTCTCTTTATTTTAGATTATGAAAAATTAACATTATTTATTAGTTAATTAATATATATATAAATATATTATTTTTAAAGGGAACCCGTGGCAACATAGACCATTTGGTGTGGGGTGATACAGTAGGGATTATTTTTGTTCAATTTGTATGTAGGTTTTTAAGTTTGTAGGGGTGTAACACGTGTTAGTGTATGTTTGGCAAGGATATGTTGCTAAGAATTGCTGATGGTTACCCATCCGGGAGCTTCCAACTGCGGTTGGTACRAACGCTCAGTGTGTTTCCGTAGACTGAGCATTTGAGCGTACGACCACGCCTCATCATATCTCCAATTAACATTTTATTGCATAGTAACGCATATTAAACTAAATAATTTTTCGATGTATTTTGACATTAAATACAATAGTAATACTATGTAATTAAGGAATTGTTTATTATTAATTGGATGTAATAAAACAAAATCAAAAATACTGTAATCTGCGTATCATGGTGACCTGTAATTTGGTCTGGTATATTAATCGGGCGACATTTGATCCGGTTCAAAAAATATCTGGTTAAAAAAATCTGGTAAAAAATATAAAACACAAATATATGGAAATTAGAATTAGAACTTTAGAATGATAATCTAAATCTATAATATTCTACAATATTACAGAATATAACTATATTAATTTTTATAATAATTCCATTATATTATTTTATATTACTGTTTTAAAAAATAATTCATAATTTATAAATAAACCGATTGCTATTTTTTTTACCTGACGTTTWTAAAAATTAAGAAATAGAATTACAATTAAAATTTCTATAGATTTTTACTTTATTTTTTTTATCAGACATTTTTAGATTTTTGGTACATGTTCTTTTTGGACCGGATCAATTGACACCAGATATAATTTATCGGATCAATTAAAGATGAACTTATAAGTATACATATTTTAATTKTTGGAAATTTAATATTTTACTGACTCGGTGATTATTTTTTAGGACAGAACTAAATGTACGTATTCTTTAAAATTACATAGCGTCTTTATAAATTTCAATATAATATTATTTTTATTGTTTCTTAACTCAATTTTTATTTGAAAACACAAAGGTCTTGTATAAAATATTATATATATATATAATATGTAAACGTACAAGTATACTTGAATGATATTTTATATTGGTAACAAAAATACAATGTTCCTATGTTTTTATATGTCATGATGAGTTTCCTAAATGGTATTGCTTATTGGTAAAATTTTTGTTTCAAATAACTTATTTCAAGTTTCGATAAAAAAAAAATAGATCAATTTATATCTAGTATAAGTAATATAATACTATTTTTCATGTATTATATTGAAATAAATAAAAATAAAGAGACAATTTTACAGTTCTTATATTTATACATAAATTAAGGCTATTCAGAATTTTTTATTTACTGGAGTATTTCATTTACTATATATTTTGATAAAATGTTGTATTACAATAAAATAATAGATTTTTACTTATCAAAATATTAAGTAAACGAAATATTTGTCAACAAAAACCTGAGACATCTTTGTATATTATAATTGTGATAATTATTTTTGGAAGAAATTATCATATACTTAAGTGAATATATATAATTAGGGCTGGGATTTTAATGCCCTCAAAAACCACGAAAAATGTCCTAAAAAAAAWGCTTTTATGACCTAAAAACTCAAAATAATGCCCTAAAAACCCCGAAAAATGCCCTAAAAAAGGGCAATAAATCTACAAATTTTTTAATTTTTAATAATTTTAGTATAAAYTACAATAAAAAGTTACTCAAACCTTTTCCGATAATATAATACGAATTAGGGGTACCTACTTATAATCTGTTATATTTATTTAAAAACCATGTTGGTGTAAAAATCTTAAAATCTTAAAATAAAATTTCAAATTCATACACTTGGTTTCCAAAAACTCAAAAAATACTCCAAAAACTCTAAAATGCCCTAAAAAATTAATAAAATGACCTAAAAACTAAAAAATGCCAAAAAATGCAAAATAAACTTTCTTATTCTCATTCAAATGTACATAAAATAAATTTGTGACAAGACGAGCATTGCACAGTAAGCTTTGAAAAACAATGCAAAGTGCATCGAAATCCCACCCCTATATATAATATATAAATGATAAAATAGACCATCTGTTTAAGATCAATGGAATACTACACTGAGAAAAAAACCCTCTTTATATTTATTTCACTTTTGTTTTTTAATCGAATTCATATTTTAGTATTTAATACTCTAATAGGATTTTATATTATACATCAACATCATGGAAAAAGTTATTTATGATTCATAAACTCGATAATTGGTAATAATTGCTTAATTCCTCATAAATTAAACGTAATACGTAATAAGATTTACTCTGACATATCATTATCATTTTAACTGAAGACATACATTTAACAATATATCTTCATAGAATTTTAGACAATTTTAATATTATGTTATAGAATAAAATTCATATGGAAACTATTATATCACTATGTTTCACAAAACTCCATATCATCATAACTATTACTTTATTTATTAAGACAGACGAGTAACCTAAAGAGGGGAGCCTTGTTCTTTAAGTTAATTTAAGTACCTATGATAATAATATTTTCAATCCTTACACCTTATTTTGTGGTGACTCAGCTACGTTTATGCACTTTAATATTTGAATAAAATATAATATATTAAATAAATATAAGTAACAAAAATACATGAATAACATTTTAAAGTTTGTCGAACAATATATAAAATAAAACAACAAGCCATGTTAATTTTGGAGATGAATAGAGTTTAAGACGTGTGCCTAGGAACCCGTGAGAAAAATATCATCACTGTTAAATTAAAAATATCGAGAGCTATAACCATTATTATAGGTATGTATTTATAGAAATTTATATATACAAGATTTATCCATGACCATGCAAAATTTTTATTAGAGCTATTTATTACAACAGCCCATATGAGTAAAGAGAACTAAAATTAATTTAAATTTTACTAGCCCAAAGCTTGGCTCATTCACGGAATCGTTTAGGAATTCAATCTGCCACACG